GCCCAAAAAGCCTTTTCAGCGAAAATTAATTCCAGCGAAAATAAAGTATTTCACAGTATTTTAGCTAATCTGTAATTTCGCTAATTCAAGATGTAGCTAAGTATATATAAGATGTATAAAGTATATTCTCACAGGGAGATAGTCAACACTTTAGCTAAATTAAGATTCTGTTAATTCATGCTAAGAGTCAAATCCACTAAAATTGCATGCAGCTATTTCAACGTGTTCTACAGTATTCTCATCCATTATTCCACATCAACACTTAGAGGGCGCTAGTCACCATGCAGGTTTTAATGCATTTTACACACAATGTGCGGGTCTTATTTGACCACATCTAAGACAGCACGCCACAATAACAAATGACTGTCCTATAAAGAATGCATAAAACTAACACTTATGAGAGTCATTTATTGCAATTTTAATATCACTTATTCTCCCTGTGACTGACTAGATAAAACTCAGATAAACTACACTTTTTTTTGAATCATAAAGTGTTACAAAATTATTCCCTGCCACTATTTGAAAATCTTGAAAAAACAAAATTGGGAACCAAAAATACCTATAAATTATGAACCTTAGTTCTATGCATTTTGCCCAATTTTCAATACAAAATGGCCGTCTATTGCAAAATCACAAAGTCATAGTTTCTATGGAAACAAGTTTGGATTTTTTTATTTTTTTATTCAGTCATTGTTTTTATGGAAACAAGTTTGGATTCCCCTCTTTTTTATTTTCACTTTTTAATTACTATTCATTGAATCAAGAATTTTTTTTGTTTTAAATTTTTAGCTGCTTTTTTCGTCAGCCACATCCATCATTATGTGCATAGGGTATGGTAGCCTGAGTGAGGCTATTGGAACGTTTAAGGAAATGTGCCAGTCTGCAAGGTGTACTCATGTCTCCAAGAAAACAGAACTCCCTAAAAACGATTGTAAGATTTGTGACAAAATTGAATATGTATAGTATGGTTAGTAAATTACGAACATCTCTCACCTGTATGATGCACTACTTGCCACGTATGGTTGCTTAGTTACAGTCCTAGTGAAGCGAAATAAAATGCCATAATATTAGAATTGAATAGTGAAAGGGTTCACAACATGAGCATGTACGTATTGCTTACCATCAATGTTGAAATAGACCTAGGTATATCAAAGATACAGACACATTCACATATTAGGATTTTTCAATAAGTTGTTGACTAAATAGCGACTACTTGACCATACTGAATCAGTTCATGGGGGGGGGGGGAGAGGAATGTGAGTGAATGTATCCCATTCACCTTTGACAAACAAACACAATAAGTATTATGGTATTTATGATTTGTATGATCAAAATGGCCACCATGCAGTCAACCAAATTTGATCAAATCACAAATTAGGTACATAATCATGATGATCTCTGAACCGCAACAGGTTGCTAAGAATTGATGCAGTTATCTCCAACAAACACGACAGTAAAAATGGAAACCAGTTGCCAACGTTTGAAGAGATATAAAGGACACATGCTGTACTGTTTTAACACAAAGTTTGTTAGAAATTTGTTGAAGCATCTTTGAGAAAGGGCTCCAGATAAATGTACTGAGAACTAAAAGCATCTACTTCTCTCAGACACAAGGAATAATTATAAAACCATAATTCAACAAAAACACTGATTAGCACGCTACTAATTAAGAAAATATTGTATTCTTGATGATAGTTTCCTTGAAGTGAGAAATTAAAATTCTGTGAAGGCAATTTTTTTTTAAATGAATATTTGAGATGGTTCCCTCGCTATATATTGTCTAATTACCTGACATTAACTCCAGACCTTACAAGCACACCCAACATGTTTGTTGTCCCACTTGTAGCCATTCTAAGTTTTTCTCAGACCATTATAACACAGAGTTAATCTGCAATAGAACACAGAAAATGTTTAATTATATTATTCCAGAGTTAATTTTATGAATAGGTCATTCTGATTGGCCAAGAGACCCAAGTGAACCTGCAGTAAAGTTGTACTCCGAGATCATTCTTATAGTGTAATTTGTTTTTGGGACTATTACATGAAATGTTTAATGGTCTCAACTTGTCTGTGTTGTGGGAATATTTAATAACCTTTTCACCACCAGTTCCCTATTTTCTTCACAAAATAGTCCCAATTATACATGAAGTTTGGACAAAAAGCCATATTTTTTGAATAAAAACTGAAAATTCACATAAATTTCATCTGTTCACTCCCAAATCAGGGTTCATTTCCAGAAATATTGAAGAATATTAAAAAAAAGTGCAGAAAAATTTTGGTGAGAAAGTCTGATGCAGAAAATGTTAAAATAAACATTCACATTTCAATGTTTTTCAGCATTTCAGAGCAATGGTCATCATTTCTGCTTCCCATTGTTTTCTTAGTTGTTACTTTAGAAGTTATTCATTGTCATATATTTCAAACAATAGTCTCAAAACGTCAATTAAACCTATATAAATTCTCTCAGAATGCTACTTTTAAAGTGCTTTTTATGTGCTGTATTTTAAAACAAATGTAATACACATTGCTTCACATAAAATTTGAATGTGCTCTGCAACAATCATTCTTTAAAGATACAATATGGATAAAATAATATTGTTGACCAAATAGGATCATGAACTCGACAGTATTTACTAAATGAAAAATCAAAAACACTAAAACGCACACGCATTGATTGCTATTGTATGCACCAAAACAACTTCATTGTTTCAACAAATGAAAAATCAGCAACATACATTATCAAACATGAATATTAAAAATTCATTCATAATACATTTTTAAAGCAGCAACAGCTGTAACAATCAAATTTTTTCCCCCCAATTTTTATTATTAATAAAACATTTTCTGCGTCATTGGCCATCTTCAAAAATGTAGACGGTGAAAGCATAGCATATAGATTATATATATTTTATATATACCCTTTGTTTTGTTTGTAATTTTGAAACTTTTGTTGTTTTTGTTTATTTGTGTTTATTTTTTTAGATCTGTATCCTTACCATACAGCACCCACCGATGGTGCAGTTGTGTAATAAAGTTATTATTATATTATTATATACCGACATAGTACATTAAATCACTTGTAAGTGTTGTGTCAAGGTCAAGTGAACCTCAGGTATAATGGGACACAATGACAACTTATCAGAGTATGGGTGAAACAGCAAGTACATTGCCATCTTGATAGGCCAAGTGCCACTCTCTGACGGCTTCTCATCAATAAATTGATGATCATTTTCCATAATAGCGGCGTTGTACGTCACAATTTTCTACGACCCCCAACACATGATTGATTTCAACAAAATGGTGGCTACTGGTATGTTATGCGACATTAGTCTTGTTAGATTTGTTCATCTTTATCTGGTTATATTATCTTTATCTGGTTATACAAAAACATTTTCAAAATTCACAGCTATTGTCGCTTTAACTAACTAAAGGTTTCATTGAAGACGTGGCATCTATAAGTTAATGAAACATACTCAACACTGAGTCTGCATAACAATCTCCCAGGGACGAGTTGACCCATTTTGGTACTTAACACCAAACATAATGTCACCTTGGAATGAACCACTTATTCCAGCACAGTAGGTACAATTTGTAAACGTTCAAACTTTTGAATCAATTCTTTTAGTAATTCAAGCTGTACATAGAAATACGGACATGCAGTTCATCTTTTGGTGGTAAATAAAAGTGGTGACACAAATGACAAGTTGACATAAATGTTAATTTGTTATGTACAGTAATTAAAATATAGCAGTCACATGTTGATATATGTCCTAGAAATAGGAACATTGTCCTAGATTTCGTGTCAAACAAACAATTACAATTTTGAGGTGTGTGGCATGAATTGTGAGGGTCAACCATATCTATGACCTATAGCCAAAGACTTTTGAGTTGTCATTTGCCATCGACAAATGTGTCACACTTACCCCCAAAAACAATTAGGGGATAACTATTAAAAACTCAAGGGGGCGGGTGGAGATTTTGAAAACAAAAATCTACATACCAGTATTTATAAAAAAAACAACACAATTTTTGGTGAAGAAAGCATCCTCTGAGAAAACATCCAGCAAAATCATAAAGAAACAGTAAGCAATCTGCAATTTTCCTAATATTTTTCCTACCAGAGTTTTAAATGGCAAACCCCTCCCACACATGCACATAAAACATAAATATTTGAAATGCTTCATGGTAGAAACACCTCCCTACCCTCACCTAATCCACATGTACTATTT